ATGAAAATGCTCACGAAATCTTATGGATCTCAAATCGTGATATGGTTTTCAGTGAATCCTTGCAAGAAAGTAATGTGACTCTCGTATGTGCAGAAGAGTTTTTGTGTTAACTTATTGTTACCATAACACAATACCTGAGGTGCTGTACTTAAACTGAGAAAAGGTTTATTGTCGCTCACAGTTTGAGAGGTTTCCTTTCATTGATGTTGTTGGCTGGAGCCCGTTTTGAGACACAATGTGAAAGGATGAAAGGAAGCCTGAGAGATGCAGCAAGCTGCTCAACTTCTGACAGATAGAAAGAAGCAAAATGGCGGGGGGCTGTGAGGAGAAGAGAAAACTAAATACCCATAATCCCCTTGGATGACAAACTAGCCCTCTCCCTTAGGGTTCTACCTCTCAGAGGCTCTGCTACTTCTCAATGGCATCATGGGCTGTGATGAACTCTTTAACTCCTCAGCCTTTGAAGAACACTTACTCAAATCCTAGCACTTCCAGTAAAGCTTGTCAACATGGGTCCGCATCCATCAAAAAAAAAATAATAACTGTTAGTGCACCGTATTTTTAACAACATAATCAAGCAATATGGCTTGGACATTGCTATTTCTGAAAAACCCTGATGCTTCCCACTGTATTATGGCATTAATCCAGATTGTATGCCCACTGTAGCATTATGGTTCATCCTCAGTGTGGAATATGACTCAACCACCAAAAAAGAACAAATGAGCTCTTCAGTGAAAAAAGTAGCTAATAATACATTATTTTAGTGGGGTCTAATATTAATTATTTCATACAATGATATAAATAGGAAGGAAAGTAGGAAGAATACATGGTAGTTTGTTAAAGTGAATTTCCTGCTTAAGGGTATAAGTAGGGTAGGCAATCGATTATCAATGTGCAAAAGGACATGGACTAAAATAGACAATCACTTCACCTAAGACACATAGTATATATTCATTGTAAATTGTATGTGTATGTTAAAATCCCATGACAAAAATGTGCGTCATGTTTTCTCTGCTCCCTAGAGAACATAAACAGAAATACTGTTCAGATGCTGTATACATTTGTAGCTCTAAAACATTTCCTAGAGAGGGAAGAAACTTGGGTATGAATCTAGTCATTTTTGCTTCCTATCTCAGGAAGTTTCTGAGAACTTACACTGGGGAGCAGAATTTGCGGAGGACTTTGAGTTTTAACACCAACTCTGAATCTTCCTTGCTATGTGTGTCAGCTGCCTGCGGTGGTGACAAGTATCCGAGTTAAATGGATTCAAAGGAGGAAAGATTTATTTTCACTCATGGTTTCAGAGTTTCAGTCCATAGTCACTTGACACTATTGTTTTGGGGCCTGTCCACCGGCAAGAACATGATAGAAGGGTTTAATGTCACGGAGCAAATCTGCTCACCACATAGTGATCAGGAAGCAAAGAGAGAAGAAGGAATGAAGGTTCCTTCAAGGCACACCTCCAGGGCTCTACTCTTCCAGCTAGATCTCACATCCTCAAGCTTCACCACCTGCCAGAAGTCCATTAAGTTACAAAAACATGAATGAATCAGTCCACAGCTGAGATCAGAGCCCTCATGGTCCAATCCCCTGGCTGCATTGGGATGTGTTGAAGCTCATGGTCCAAACTAAACACATTTTATACTCAAATGATAACACTATGATATTAGGCTTTTCATACATTAACCCTAACCCTATCCCTAATTAGCATTGCCTATGTTACTGGGAAAATTAAATAGCATAGTACAAATTAACAATAGATATTGAAATCAAATTTCAAGGAGAAAATCTTTTCCTATAAATTATTTCTGTAATTACTTGTCAACTAAACCTTAGGGGTTGCAAGCATAAATGAAGACTACAATGAGCCCTGGTAAGCATGTTATCATATGAACCTTGTTTTAAAAACTATGGTTGTAGGGGCTGAAGAAGTTAGTAAGAATCAAATTGATGAGGTGTCATGGAGAGAGCCTGCGAATGATAAATGCAGTTTGCATGTGAGAAGACATACCAATTAGCAGAAAATCTGAGATGCTTTTTCTAACATACCTGTAATGATTGCTTTCCTCAGAGGTTTCATGTTGAGGAAATTAGACTTTTTGATACACAAAAAGTTTTGGTAAGGACATCTTAGGGTGAGTATAGTAAGTCAGACAAAATATGCAGAGATTTGCAAAACTACTTTTGAATGGCTGTCATTGAATTAAAAAGGAATAAAGAAGCTATGTTTCCATCAAACTAATTTGCAAGACTTGTTGGTTATGCTCACATACAGACTGCAAAGTATTTGGTTACAGATTCTCTTATACTTTTTACAAATAATTAGTATATGGAACATAAAAAAGTTTCCCAACTACAGTATAATTCATAAATCAAGGATATTTTTGTTAAGAGATTATTATTTCCATAGTTTGTCAGAGAATTTATCTTCTATTTCCGTGGTATTCATTCATCTCCTTATTTGACTTCAAGCTTCAGTAATGGATTTTCTGATTAATTTGAGACTCAGTAAGTCACTTCTCCCCATTTTTGAGTAAAACAGTTTGTAAATTAGTATTTGTTGGTCAACTTGTGGTATATTTCAGGACTAAATAAATTGAATTTACAACTTTGCACTTTCTCCATTCACTCTCATAGGAAGAATGGAAAGGGAAATAAAGGCCAAATGGAAAGTGAAACATTACTGTATCTTTTCAAATCCCTAAAGTATATCTTTTCTGGAAAATCTGAAATGAAGCATAGTATGAGCTCAAGGCTTTGTTGTAGACTCGTCATCTGCTACATCTAAATTAACTTGGGATTGCTAGGCTGTCCCTCCCCACTTCACTGTGGCATGTGTGTGAGAAGGCAGGGCAGGCTTATCTCAGAGGCCACCACCAAAGATGATCAGGAGCAAAGGGAAACAGTGAGACTACTCAGAGGGCTTGCAGCTGCTATCACATTAATCCTGCAGTTAAGGATAAACACCTTCCACTGAGAAGATAGAAAGAGGCAAAGTTCTTGCCCTTAAGGAGAGTCAAAACTAAGCACAAAGCATGCCTGGAGTTTGGGCTAATTTCAGGCAGTATGTAAACATTAGATAAGTTTAGAGAGAGGGATGACACAAAGGTAAGAATGATTAATTCTTGTGAGATTCAAGTAGGCATCCCAAAGGAAGATACTAGGGAACAGTGGTGTTTGTCAGAGTAATGACTGTCACAAGGAGAAACTGTAAAAATAGAGAAATTGATAAACTACAATAAGCTTTGGGAAAGGTAATAGTTTGCTATGACCTGAATAGAATAAGGAGAAATCTAAGGAGGTAGATACAGACGAAAAGGTCTTATATGTCATGCTTGTTTAACGATATCTAAGGAAAGGTGACACTGGACCTAAGATTTTCCCTCATGAAATGAATACTTCTCTTTGAAGAAGTCATTATATAAATATTTCCACAGTATAGTTGCCTGTGGCTACCCTAACAAATTACCAGGAACTTAGTGACTTAAATCAGTATATCTCTATCAACTGTCCACCATCTATCTATCTATCATCTATCATCTGTTTCCTCTTTCTTTCTACCGTCTACCTTATACTTTACTGTTCTGAAAATTAAGACTCCAAATGAGCAACCCTGAACTAAAATAAAGGTATGTGAGGACGGCTTTCCTTCTGGAGCCTAGGAAAGGATCCATGTCCTTGCCTCTTTTAGCTTCTAGAGGTTTGTAAGCATTCTGTGGTTTGTGGACTTTTTCCACTGCCAAGGGAGCAATGGGAGGAAAAACCTGTTTGCTGCATCACTGTGATACTGACTCTTATCTCTGTGGTTCACAAGGACCAGTGTGATTACAATGGTCCCACATGGCAGCTCAAGGGTTATCTATCTCCTTATCTCAAAGTCACCTGATTAACAGCCTTAATTCCTTTTGCAATCTTAATTCCTTCTGCCATGTAATTTGATATTCAGATTCTGAAGATTAGGACATGGGTATTTGTGGAAGCTCATGATTCCACCTAGAACACATAGCTTGTATACACTGATTAAATAGATTAGCTTTTCAGTATCACATTCCTATTACACTGTCCTGAAATGGAAAAAATAATAATCAGCCATAATAAAAAATAATAATTCGCATGTAAGAAATAAGAAAATACAATGAAAACCTATTATTATGGATCTACTAGAAATGTAAAAATTCCTGATTGGTAGGTGAATCATAATTCTTGAGAAAACAATTCAGTAAAAAGGTAGAGGGGTTGCTTCATTTCGGGAACATTTTGTTTGTTAGAATAAGATTTGACATTTCATTTTAACAGCTAGAGAAATTAATTTAAGATCACACCATTTAGTGTACACAGTTTTGTAGGTAGTTGCTGAATAACTATATAATTTTTAAATAAAAGTCACCATTTCTATATGGTAATGAGAAAATCTGAGGACAGATAAAAGCTGTCCATTGAAGCAAGAAGATACAGGAAAACTGTCAGAAAATAGATCCACTGTGAAAATTTCTAAGTTCCTGGTAATTTTTTTGTCATAAATAAAATTTTTAAAATGTATACTTCTCTCAACAGGAAAACAATAACAATGTACTTTATAAATGCTTTCATATTTACAACATTCTTTTAAAAATAGTAAATTAAAAGAGACTATTGTAATGTGAACTATAATATTGCTGAAACTCAAAATAAGATATCAGTCTAATTTTGATTGGATAGTCTTCACTATGGTGAAAGGATATAGAATAAAATAATTTAACTGTATATCTGACATTTTATATCTACAAATACAAATGACATTGTATTTTGGCATATTCATATTTTATGTATCTGAAGTTAAAATTAGTGAAATAAGCATAGAAACACCGTATAACACAATCTAATTTTAAAAACATAGATTGTCTTCATTTTTGGAGTTTTATATTACAGTATTAGAAATAAATAAATAAATATAGCAAATAGAAGTCTAAGCTGTTTTACTGGAAATTTAAGTTCAAAATGATTCACCAAATGGCCAGATGTGTTTATTCCAATTTTTTATTTTATCTCAAAAACCTCTTATCTATCTGATAGAGAAGCAAATTTATTCAGAATACATCTCATCCTCATAACAGCCATTTCCTTTTTCTCGCTTTACATTCTGCCCCTTCTTTCTCTTACATTTTGATTTTTGTAACAAAGCTCATTACCAAGGTGGTAAGGGACTAGTTTCAAAGACAACATGAGACACAAAAATATCAAGCCAGTGGTATTCTTCAGGACATTCATATATTTCTTGTGCTAGAAAGAAATCTCTCCTTGGATAAAGTGATATCACTCTTGAGAAACCAATCACTTCCCCAATATCTACAGTATTATTTTGACATAAGTATGTCATGTAGTAAAACATACTATAGCTATATAGTACATAACTTTACCTTTATTATATACAACTCTTACACTGGAAACAGATAAAATCCAAGCTCAGAATATTTGATTATCTAGTAAATAATAACTGGATTATAGTATTGAGTCAGTTTTACACATTGGTCATCTACAACTTGGATTTTCAATTTCTCTCAGCTGTAATTATCCATAGTTTTCCATGTTTACCGTAAGCATCCAAAACAACAAGGTACATTTTTGAACAATCTGTAATACTCTTCTTGGATCTTGAAAAAAGAAAAAAAAAAAAAAAAGAAATGCTAAGTATAATTATGGCAAGCACATCATGTTACTTTCAAATCACAATAAACAGTTTCATTTAGTTCTTTAAAGTGTTATTGCTTTTTGATCATTTACTGGAACATGCTCAAGTAAATATGAACTATATTTATGTAGCTAATAACAAGTTCCTTTAAAAAAGCCAATTTCTCAATGAACAACTAAATGTTCTGATTAAATACTTACACATGTTCTGTACTAAAGCAATGGAGGCAAAAGTCATACAGCCAGGGCAATAAGAATTTTCTATCGATTTGGAAACTGATGTAACATGATTGCATTATAGAGTCTATTGAAATGAGATACTGCTTACCTTCCTAGATAAAACACACAGGAATAAGAAAATGAACATTCCCTGGAAGGCGTTGCTGACTGTGAAGAGGTAAGCTGTCACCACTGATGCATGCACCACATGAAGAACCCCAAAGATCCAGGTGGTGCCAAGAAGGAACAATAGAGCGAGGGCTCCTCTTGCACAGGACCTGTTGTACATTTGGAATGTCTCAGTTCAAAAAGGCATGCATATTCCAGGGACACCCCAAACCCCTCAGACTATACGGAAATGGCTTTTTACATCAATAAGCAATTCATTACAACAACCATTAATGACTTTAAGTTTGACAGTGTGCTCGGCAGTGAGATGGGACAGACTTTAGGGTGTGTCCCCGTGCTATGGGAAGATAGGCTTCCTGAGAAGAAGTATGTTCCTTTATTAAAGTGTGGCATTTAAAGACAGCTTAATTTTAAGATATTTTATCTGTTATACTGCAATGTGTATGCTTTGATTTTAATCCAATGTGGCAGTAATTCCCCACGGTAAGACATATATCTATCTGCTAGAAAGTATTTTCCCTAAGTCACCCTGAAAAGTACACCATCCAGACTTGAGTCAGCACATGTTCATGATATCAAAGGAGGCCTCTTCAGGGTTCACAGAGAAGAAATTACTATCTATCTATCTATCTATCTATCTATCTATCTATCTATCTATCTATCTATCTATCTATGTTTTTGCAATGCTGTTACCTCAAGATAAATTTAAGTCTCAATACTAATTTCTTGAAAATTAAGGATAAAGTACTCTTACATATTTTCAGCAGTTTGTCAGTGATTTTCAGTAAAACAATACTCAATCCTTTCACTGAGGACATTGCCTTGAAAATGAAGCAACTAATGATTACTCTGGCCTTCATTTTTGGTCCAATCATGCTCTACGGGAGGTGTTTTAGCAGTATGCCTTAGAAAAAGTCATTTTCATTTTTATTAAAACCAGCATACTACATGTAACTATGAATAGTGCAGAGTTAAAAAAAAAAAGTAATCGATCAAGCATTTGCTAAATCTCCACTATAAATCTTGTGCAAGGTATTGAGACTACAGGACTGTTTCCAAGCAACACAAACAGTGCTGTTTCCCACATTCCCTGTAGTGTACTTCAGCTTTTCCTGAACAAACCATTTGGTGGGTATCAATAAATCAGTTTTAAAGAGAGAGGGTTAAAGGAAAAACTGTAGGGACAGTCAAACAAGAGAAGTACCAGAAAGAAACATTTACCAAACTCTGAGAAATGTTTTAGAAAAGACAATCCTAAGTCCTTGGTTGTGTTAAATGGATATCATCTCTCTTTCAAAGGGGAGTACATTTGCAAAGACTGCTTCACGTACCACTTAATCTGAGATATGTACTGTTTTATTAGAGATATTAAATACTTTTCCTGGTATATATTTTAAAGATGGTCGAAGAAAGTCTTAACCAATTATTTTAATAACAGCAATTCCTAAAATTATTTGCACCGTTTCTAAAGCTTTTAGTTTTAGTTGGTGGACACTTCAAGAAACAGTTACCTTATGTTCTCATAGCAGCTAACTTCGGGCTTCAGTCCAGCAGTGTGACGAAAAACTTTATATATGATAACTCCAAAAGCCAAGAGATTTACCTGGGAAAATATTTAATTAGAAAAAGATATAATTTTTACAGTAAAGTAGATCCATATAAACAGCAAGTAGTGAAGATTTCAGTAAGATATGCACCAAAAATATCATGGTAGTTGTATGTACACTACATTATGCCAACCCTCTGGTAATCTCAGACAAATAAAACTGTGGTAGAGTTTTACAGTATCGCTGAACATTGTTAATATACTGGTAGCAAGTAAAATTGCTGGATTTTGCTAAGCAACTTGTTTAAGAAAATTCTTCAAATATTACAATCACATCCACACATTGATGTGTATTATTTCCTGTCCGTCACATGATTAATGTACACATTAAGGTAAATTATAGTTTGGAAACCTTCATAAACACTTGGAAAGGCAAATTTTTGTTAGACATAATTCTCTCAATCATTTAAAAAATTTAGTCTGAGGAGGAAAATCTGACAGAAAATTACGTATGATTCAACAAAACTCCTCCCTTTCTACTGGTAGAACTTTGAATGTACTTTTTTTCTGTGTATGTTTTATCTAGGTAGCTTTCTTTATATTTAAATATAATTATCCCATATTTAAGCTTAGAAGTTTTTGAAGCATGAATCAATGAAGTAAATTTTTGTGGGAAGACAAATACATTTTATTGATGAAAATTTCATTATTTTATTTTATACTATGAACTAAACAGGATGTGTGAATTTTACCCCTTTTAAATGTCGCTGCATTATGAAAAATTTCTTCCTTTTCCTGTTTTCAGAAATTACTGTTTACAGTAATTATTTGTAGTCAGAAGATTAAACAAGTACTATAATTTACATATATATCTATTCTATTGTAAGCTACTTATAATTTAGAATATTAACTATTCTAGAAATAATTAATAGATTAATCCTTTATTGTCTATATTTTTTTCATTGTTCTTAAAACTCTTTTAGAAAGTAACCAAATGCAACATGATTTTTAGCTAATACTATCACTACTAGTAATTTAGAAGCTGATAGTTATGAGAAACATTTTTTTCCTATATTGGAAGAAATTTGGTTTAATTTCTCAAAGTTAAATTGAATATAATAAGAAACAATATCAAGTAATAGTTTCCTATTGTCATTTCTCTCTGGAGAGGGTTTGAGAAGAAATCTTAGAGGATTATGGGGTCTAGTCCCTTCCTCCTGCCTCTGTCAATTACTTCTAATTGCACAACTAATTAATTCTAATTACAGTAATGCTTCCATACAAATAAAAGACGTTAGCAATTGCAGAGGGGAGATAAAGTATATTTTAATTGATTTAGTTGACAGTTTCACCCTATTTATATGCTCAGATAATTTACTAAAATGACAATTTAATAATATTTAATTTTATATACACTTTAATAGTTGTGGAAGAGAAATACTTAGTATTTCCTACTTTTCATTAGCTATTATTTTTATATAAGTTTGGGAACTATAGTTGTACTTAACTGTATAAATTTATACATATATATTTTAAAATAATTAAAAATCCTTAAAATTTGATTAGTAAAAACAATACATGCCAAATCAGGATTCATCTGAACATCTCCAAGTAATTTTTATTTTATATTTATACTGAATTTTGTATCTCAATAAAGAAAAAAAATATAAAGTAACTTCAAATGTTTAAAAAAGTTCTCTTGACCCCATATTTCTGCACATAAGTGAATGATTTAAAATATGAAGTAAAAGATTCTCTCCTATTTCTGTTTTTGATAAAGCTCTGTGTGAAAACTATTTGCTCCACTGCTATGGTTTCTCAAATGTGGATGCACATTTGAATATGTACTTCTACGTCAAAGAGAGTGAAGATGGGCAGTTGAACATTTCCTAAGTGAGATACAGATCTAGATCTGGAAATTAAATTTATTATCTGCAAAAAAAGGATAATATTCACATGCTCATCAAAACCAGGTCCTGCTAGGTAAGTGGAAGAATAATTCCTATTCCAAACCTCATATATTCCCAAGTCCAAGAGAAAAGATGTTAAAACATTTTAGTAATAAAAAACAATAAACAGATGGATTATGTTATTCATATACATTAATAATTGTACAAACATTTAAATTTAAATTTTTATTTATTCTAAGAATTTTCTAAGTGATCTAATAAGTGTCTACTACAGTTGCAGAGGACTTGATACATGTATATTAATGAACCAAATTGATAGGCTCTTGTTCTCACAGATTTTTTTTTCCATTTCTCTTTTAACTTTTCTTCTTATTAGCACATATTTGCAGTATATAAAGAATGCTTTCATTATGGGATGTTGGTAGATGAGGACTTCTAGTACAGTGGGCCCTGGAGTTATGAGCAGTTTGAGATATGAACAACTTGGGTTATGACCAGAGTTTGAGTTTTAACTTATGATCAGAGTCTTGAATGATGATCTGAATGCCAGCTGCTTGTGTTTCCAGATGGTCTCAGAAACAGATTTAAGCCTTAAAGAGTTTTTCAAGGAACATTACAAGATCTTTTCCCTTATGGGGTTGATTGAGAAATCCTGGGCCAGTGTCTCTCTCAGGACACTGAGATCTGACTGTGTGCAGGAGAGAGACTGAAGAAAAGTGGAGAGGAGCCTGACCCTCAGTTGACAACTTGAATTATAACCAACCCTCGGAGAATGAAATGAATTCGTCAATCAAGGTTCCTCTATTCTTTGTGGATTATAATCCATTCACAGATCAAAGAATGGAGAGAGAGGGAAGTATAGTATAGAAAATACTAAGAGGAGCTAAGAAAATGTTATCCCTTTAAACAGTGGGTAAAAGTGGTAGCTTGTAGTCAACAAAGTGGAGTAGCAGAAAAAAAATATCACTTAGATTTTATCTTTAAGTGCAAAGTTATGTATTTGTTCATTCAAGAGTCATTTATGTGCTGCAGCTTTTCCTCCAGGAATCTGCAGTACAGTGGAGGAGATGACCAGCCAACAGCTGAGTGCAACAAGTTCATTAATTTTGGGCAGTTTGCATGGCTGCATGACAAGAACAGGTGACAGCCCCCTAAACTAGAGGTTCTAAGCAAATCTTGAATAACTAGTAGAGACAGAGTAAGACAACCTAGAGAAAACTGGTGATCATTCTGATTTCAAACATTGGCCTATTCACTTCCTAAGGTGAGCAGATCCAAAGGTTCAAAATGCTATCCACTTATTTCTAACTCTTCCACTTGAAAGTATAGTAAGCCATGTGAGTTAAAAATGTCAAAAAACTAAGTGCTATTCTCCTCAAAACAATCTATCTTTGTTGTCATTTTCTCTATCTCAAAGAAAACAAAACAAACAGAAAAAAGTCATCTCATTCTTCTAGCCAATCAGGCCTTCACCTCTGATTTCAAACTGTATGCAAGCATGGAACCACTGCCAACCAATTTTCACAGCTACAGTCCCAGGACAGGGCATCATCTGGGCCACTACTGCAGAAACTTCTCCAGTTATCACCCGCTGTCACCTTTGCTGGAGTATGATTTACCTCATCTCAGCAGGCAGATCCATCTCTTTGTCAGATCTTTTCTCTATTTGGAATCCTTCAATTGCTTCTACCTCATGTAAACTTAGAGCTGCAGATCTCCCAGTGGCTTGAAGTGATTTGATCTCTGCTGTTCTGCTCTCCCCATATCCTTTGGTCAATCCATTCTATATGCACGTTGCCTCCCATTGCTACTGTGGCACACCTGGAGTGCCATCGTGCAGCTGGGCTTGAAATAGGCTTAGGTACTTGCTGGGCCCTAAGGTAGTCTAAAGGCTCAGCCTCTCACCACCTCTGTTTATCTGTAAACTGCCTCTCAGAATAGTTAGTTTTACAGAGCTGAAACTCATTCATATCTGAGTTCAGTTCTACAAAGGTATATGTAGAGAGAGGTTTTCTATACTGTTTTGGACAATGCAAGCTCTATTCCAAATTCTTCCTTTGTTTTAGTCATTAGAAACCGACAAAGATTCTCTCCTTGACAAAAACTTTGCCCAGGTCCCTCTGGACCCTTATATCAGCTCAGCTTTCAGTGTCCATCCTTTTAGAGACCAGTTTTATCAAAATCTTGCCAAGTCAATTTAGGTTACTCTAGTGAAAATCCTCCCGCCTCTGATGCCAGATCACTCTCAATATCTAAGCAACTTTCTCATCCATTACCGGTGCTATCTGACCACTTGGGCCAGCTATTTAGCAAGAGTTATATGAGGTCAATTTAACAAAAATTCCCCGTTGCCTCTTAGTACTCAATCCAATACCCCCAGGCTTCTCCTTGGTTATAAATTCCCAGATGTCTAGACTGTTTAGATTTAATCTGATTTCTTTCTCCAATATTCCCATACAAAGCATTCCTTGTTACTTATTAAGAATCAGAATATTTTAATTAAAAATTTACATTAGAATAATACTATTTTATTTTACCAGAATAGTCATTTTCTAAAATTATTCAAAATGTTTTCTCTTTAGTTATTCTAAATTTGCTGAAAATTATGACTCTAGATCACACAGTCCAGCAAAACATTGCTTACATTCTACTTTTATTTATAAATATATGAGATATTCTAAATCCTTTCCTAACAGCTGATGACCATATACACAGAATCAGCATCACCTAAGGGCATCTGAGTACACATGACTTTATGTACTTAAGAGTTAGAAATGAAGTCAAAACTCTCTGCAGTTTACATGGTATATATATATATATATATATATATATATATATATATAATCTTCCACAAAAGAGAAGTTTATGAAGGATAAATCCTTAGATCTTAAACAGCTCCAAATAAAATGACAACGAATAAAAAATTGCTTCTGATAATAACTAACACTTTGAAATTAACGCAGAAATAATGACTAAGAAAAGTCTGCCTTTTAGGTTGAACAATTAGAAAGATACCAGCACCATGCTTACACCAGAGTGACTACATCTTGATACCTCAGTTAAATGCATAGTTATTCTTTGAAACATAAGAAAAATTACTGAAATTAACCTTATTTCATAAAACACCCCTTAACATGGAATACATTT